CCCCACCTGGACCCAGTGTTATGACAGAGTCAAGGAGACCGTAGGCGGGAGGGCGCAGGTGGATGGCACGTTTGACCCCCCCCCCCTTGGCGTTCGACGCCGCACCCCCAGGTCCACGCAGAAAATGACCAGGTTTTTGGTCAGCAACAGCATCAACAACAATACCCCAACAAGGATCAGAAGGACGATGATGATTGGGCAGCCATGCCCACCACCTGTATACCCAGAGGAAGCGTAAGCGCATATACCGACAGGGAACGAGGTGGCGGGATACTGCTAGCGTGTACTAGTCTGCGATGGCCATGTTTGCTGATACTGTAATAGCACACGCTTTCAGACCTTTTGACATAGAAGGGCGACACGTGGTCCTGCATTTGGCCTGGGTCGTCACCCTTCAAGGCTAGGTAGACACACACGACAGGCGGACCGTCGTTTCCGGAGATGTCCACCGCGTGCTCTGCAGAAAGGTGTAGCACATACGGTGACTTGCAGGTGAATAAAACAAAAACGACAGCAGACTTGTGCCGCATCTACCACACTCTCTCTTTTCCACTGCCCATCTGGAATCGGTGTTAAGACAGAGTCAAGAAGACCGGAGGCGGGGGAGGGCGCAGGTGGTTGGCACGGTCGAGCCCGCATCTATGCGTGCCACCACACCCCCTGTTCCACAACACACACTTCACCAGGATTCTAACCAACAACGACAAAAGAATGGAGGCTGGCACGGCCGAAACCGCGCCTAGGCGTGCAGCCACATCCTGTCCGGATCCCACGCAGTGGAAGTGCCATAAGGACCATATTAAGAAGGAGCCAGCCAGACGGCTCTCCACACAAACACACAACATTGTGCCGAATGCGAGGTCTAAGTTATCTCGTCAGTTGGCAACCTTCCAAGCCACTGCTTTTGGTGCACCGTGATAGCTTCAAGTGCGTCAGATTGTTGATGGTGAGAAAAATGCGCTGAGTCGTCGACCTCACTCTCCCTTTGCATTCTCAAACCCCAGCAACTGTTCGAGCCGGTCGGCAAAATGGAGTGGGGAATGGGCGCGGTGGCTGACATATATAGTGACTTTGTCTGCTCGCGCCACCCACACGATCTGGCTCCCCAAACACAAGCAGTAGGATTTCATACAATGGGATTGAGTGGCGTACATCTCACATGCGTGAGAGTGCCGTTAGTCCCGTCTAGAACGATCTGTTTAGGCCTGGCTCTCAGCACACCAGTCCATTACTCCACAAAAACACACACACACGACTGTACGGATTGCGTGGACTGAGTTGGGGCGTCATGCAATAGCCTCCAAGCCACGGAGCTTGAAGTGCCGTAGTAGTCTCAGGTCACACATGTAGCTGGGGGGTCGCATGGAAACGGGGTCAAGACGCACACTTCCCACTTGCGCAGGAGGTGGCATTTAGGTGCCTGTGGTGGGTGATGTTGGTGTGTCGTGAGATGCTGGTGGGGAGGATGCGATTGTGTGATGCAGCCGGCGGTGGCCTACCGTAACTTTTCGCGGACGCGCGTGTGGCCTTATAAATGTGCGAGTGCGATGTGGAAAGTGAAGGCAGATGCGGCGAGTGTAGGTTTGTGCTCCAGGCACTGGTTCGTCGGTCTTTGTGCAATGAATTCGCTAGTGACCAGCCGGGCCGATGCGTGAGGTGGATGTGTGGGGACACTGTGGAAATTAAAAGTCGGCGGTGTCAGCATCACCTTCAGTGGTGGTAGTGGCGGTGGTGATGGTGGTGGTGGTGGTGGTGGTGTTTGGCGCGCTGGACGACGGGACGTGAGTAGAGCTGAGCGTGGTGGGTGTGGAGTTCGCACTGAATGTGACGGAGCTGGTGACGGTGGACGCGCAGGACGGCGGAGTGAGAGCGGTGCTAGGCATGGTGGATGTGCAGGAGGAGCTAGTTGTGTCGCGATTGAGGTCAATTCCGCTCTCATGTGTATGCGTGTGGTCGAATAGGCCCATGCGGCGCATGAATGCGCGAGGGCAGTGTGGAGAGTGGAGGCGTATGCGGCGAGTGAAGGCTGGTGCTTCATGCACCGGTTCGCAAGTCTCTGTGCGATGGATTCGCAAGTGACCCACCAGACCGATATGTGAGATGAAGGTGCGGTCACAGTGAGGGCAAGCGTAGCCCTGGTCCTCATCTCTGGTGTCGGCGACTGTGGTGTTGCTGTGGTGTTGTTGTTGTTGTTGTTGTCAGGATGGTGTGTAGTGTTGATGGGCATGACAGACGCCACAACGGCAGACGCTCGGACGGTGAAGGAGGAGGAGGAGGAGGATGGCAGTGATGACTCGGGAGAGCGATCAATGTTGGTTGACGACGTAGGAGGCGAGGGAGAGATGGATGGATGGACGACGGTTGGTGCAGTCCGAGTGCTACAGTCGGTCCGGAGGTGTCCAACAAGTCCATTTGGGGCCTGTAATGTCCGCACACACCGTGGACACGTTGGAGGCGGTTGGGCGCTGGTGCTGCAGGGTGGGCAGAGCTGAGACTTGCGTGCTTCGCGTTTGGCTTTCGTGGCGGCGATGAGGTTTGCCTCGTAGATCGCAGCGCCTGTCTTCTCTTTCGTCCTCCATGTCGGTCGGTCTCGGGCGAGGTCTTCCCAGTTGGCCGGGCTGATCTGCGGAAGCTTCAGTGAGGTCTTCAGAGCGTCCTTGTACCGACGGATTTGGCCTCCTTGTCAGCGGGAACTCGTGACATCTTCATGGAAGTGTCGTTTAAGCAGCCACTCGTTGTCAAACCACACGAAATGACCGCTAAAACTCAGTTGCTGTTGGCTCAGCATGTCGTAGATGCTGAGGATTCCCGTCCGTTCCAATGCATTAGTGTCTGGGATCCTGTCCTGCCAACTCAGCTTCAGTATCCGTCGAAGACAGCTGAGATGAAAGAGACTGAGTCTCCGCGCCTGCCTCTTGTAGACCGCCCAGGTCTCCGTTCCATAGAGCAATGTCGGAAGGATGATGGCCTCGTACATCTTATTTTCGTGCTGAGATGCAAACCAGGGCGAATCCAGACGGTTTTCTGCAGACGACCGAAGCCTTGCTGGTCTTCGAAATCCGGGTGGGCTACTTCGACGTTGATTTCGGTGCTGCGGGAGTGAGTGCTGCCCAGATACAGAAGTTGTCCACCACTAGCAGTTGGGTTTCGTCCACGCTGATCTGCAGCGCATTTAGGGGGTGGCTGTGTTGGGTGGCGGTTGGTGCATGACCACTGTCTTCTCCGTGTTGATGACCAGACCGAAGTTCCCGCAGGCGGCGGAGAAGAGGCGCATGTCCCTTTGCATGTCTTCTTCCGAGGTGGTGTTGAGTGCGCAGTCGTCGGCGAAGAGAAGTTTGTGAAGTGTGGTTGTGGATACGCTTGATTGGAAGTGCATCCGCCGTTTATTGAGGAGGTGGCCGTCCGTCCTGTAGGCGATGCATATTCCGGGACGTTCGTCACGGTAGGCGTCCATCAGCATGGCAGAGAACATAAGACTGAAAGGGCGGACACTAGGACGCATCCCTACTTCACTCCGTTGGTCACTTCAAATGCCTCTGAAGCAGTTCCGTTGTCCTGGACGCGCGCCATCATTCCGTCATGGAGCTCACGCACTATCTGAATGAATCTTTTGAAACAGTCGGATTTCCGCATGATCTTCCACATTCCTTCACGATTTACCCTATTGAAGGCTTTCGTTAGATCCATGCAGGTAGAGTACAGGTGGGTCCGCATCTCCTGGCACTTCTCCTGAATTTGACGGGCGGCGAATATCATATCCACGGTAGCGCGATGACGGTGGAAGCCGCACTGGCTTTCCGGCAGAAGACCCTGTTCTAGGTGATTATTCAGGCGGTTAAGAAGGATTCGAGCAAAGATTTTCCCGGTGATATTCAGCAAGTAGATGCCTTGATGATTGTCGAAGTGTTGATTGTTTCCTTTTCGCCTGTATAGGTGCACGACTGTGACGTTCTTGAAATCCTGCAGGACTTCACCATGGCGTAACACCTCCAGGAGTAGCAAAGTCAGATGATCCATGAGTTAGGGACCGCCGTGCCTGTAGACCTTGTAGACGCCTCGGAAGTGCTCGACCCATCGCTGTAGGATTTGTGACTTGTCAGTGAGGAGGGTACTGCCGTCGGCGCTAAGGAGAGGCGCAATGTCCTTGGTAGTCGGACCGTAGACAGCTTTGATCGCGTAGAAGAGGTACTTCCATTCGTTGCGGTCGGTGTGTCTTTTGATCTCTGCAGCCTTGCGAACCATCCAGGCGTTTTACATCTCGCGCAGTCGCTGTTGAACGAGGCGACGACTACCGTAGAAAGCAGCTCCGTTGTCGTCAATGGGGTGGTCGACGTAGGCTTTGTGTAGGCGGTTCTTGGCGAGCAGGTTGCTGATGGCGGCGTCGCTATCGTCGAACCAGTCTTGGTGTTGTCGGCATGCGCGACCGAGGACGGCCAGTGTCGTCGACCGGACTGTGTCCCGCAGTTGACAACATCGGTTCTTCACGGAGGCGTTCTCGTCAATGGCAGCGGCGGCGGCGGCAGCGGCATCGATTGGAAGGTTGTTTAACCGTCGAGCAAACTCATTGATGAAATGGACATGGTGAACAGGCAAAGACAACAAGGCATTATTCAGCTCACCTGGGGGGTCGCTTACCTTGAGGTCTCCTGCAAGGCTGTAGGCGGATCCTCATCTTCGAGATGACAAGGCAATGGTCGGTCCACACGCCAGCACCCGGAATCGCCTTTGTCACCAGCATGTCCTGGCACAGTTGCCAGGAGGGCGTGCTGCTCCTCGTGGAATTTGTCTCTTGCAGCGTCAGGGCTGGTCATCGGCGGAGCGTAGGTGCAGATGATAGTGGTGAATTTACCTCCCCAGAGAGGCAGACGGAGGCTCATCAGGCGATCGTTGATGCCCTGCGGAAGAGAGACCAGTCGTTCCATGATGTCATTCCGGATGGCGAAGGCGATACCCGCGTCTCGTCACTATGTCCTGGAGCGATCGCTCCAGAAAAAGGTGTAGCCGACACCCACCTCCTCCAGTTGGCCTTGATCGGAGAACCGGGCCTCGATCAGTGCGGCGATTTCCACCTTGTAACGCGCCGGTTCCCGAGCCGCTAGCGCTATCTTCCATTCCGGCTGGTTGCTCTTCCTAATTTCTAAAAGTGAACGAACATTCCAGGCTGCTAGCATGAGCGGACTCACTCTGCCAGTGTGTCGAGTGAGGCGACGAAAAGAAGAAGAAGAAGAACAGAAAGGAAGAGGAAGAGAGTTATGGCTGTTGCTTCGGTTTTTGGCTGTTTCATCCGTGGGTTTTTTGTCTGCGACCACGGCCAGCCCACGGACAGCGTGGTTCTTAGCAACTTTAGAGCTCCTTTTCTAGCCCCTCCCCTTGCGGGCAAGCATTGTCTCCCTAGATAGGGATCCTCGGCTATCGCAGACGGCTTTCGAAGTCCCCTATAGTCCAAGGCTTTGTTTTAGTGAGAGAAAGACCCGAATTAACCTGGGACCTTCGGGTGGAGACTAAGGCGGGGAGAAGATACAACCAACTAACCAGAATAAGACTTGCAGTTAGAATGCACAAGCAGACATAGCCATCAGGTAGAGACAGCAATAAGCTAGGCAACATACGATGTCCAGTACAGTAACGGCTAGCTATTAGAAGAGATGTATTGGGCAGCCATAATGTCTACGTCGCGCCTCTCGCTAGCGCCTGCACCTACGTCCTAGCGACAGCCTGCTATGGCGCGCACGTCTGTCCGGCTTCGATTTGTCTCGTTGCAATTCACTGTCTGCACCACGCATTCTGTCAATTCTCTGCCTGCACCACGCGAGGCTTATCACTACCTTCGCGTGGGTTCGGAGTCAATCAACACAAATCCTATCACTGATAGGTAAGCCAGGCGGGAACAGTCCAGAACAATGGAGTTAACAAACTGCAGCGACACTTTAGCAGCGGCAACCTTCGGCGACACAGGGCTTGTCGCTCTCGAGTTCACCGCCTCCGCGGCGCCGGACGCATCCTCGTCCGGTTGCCAACTTTCCCCTTCACTATTCTATACGGAATAAAGTGTCCTAACTAAATGGGGTCCTGCTTCTAACAACTTGGGATACGGCCTGAAGTTGTGGCGTGCTGAGCGTACACCATCACCGCTTAGCCGCTACAGAGAGAAGCACAGACAAACAGGCAAGATGAACTGTCCGCGCCTCATTAACGTTTTCTTCCATGAGAAAAGCATCAAGATATTCAGAAACCCCCTGACGTTATTGTAAATAATGCATTTTTGCTTATGAATCACGGCCACCGCATGTCTTCTTTTCCTGTAAATATATATGATGGTAGGAGGGGCTCACCGATCGTTCATACGGAACTCACTCGTTCGGTTGTGCCTTAAGGGCTCTCTCTTGAGCCCAACCAGCAGCCGCACAGCGGCGCTTGATATAAAGGCAGAAATGACATTACCGACAAAGACAAGGGCGACTGGAATGGTCATTTCTGGCTTTTTACTCAGAAAAAAAGGATATATATATGTAAACATATATATAGGGGCTCATACTAGAACCCTCGCCGGCAGTCGCACAGCTACTAGTAGAGTGATGTAAATCAGGTGGTACCGAAAAAGAGGGTTTAGTCGCTTGGCATGAGTAAAAAACTCGTTTATTAACAACAGCCAGTTCGGAACGTTATATGAAGAGAAAAAAAACCAAGTGTCTTCATACGTACAAAAGGAGGCCAACTGGCGACTAGGAGGAAGGAATAGCAATCATTTAGGTCTCTTCTTCGGGCTCAAACGTCGATCAGTTTTTGTCATATCAGACTGGATAGGGGGTTGCGAAGTCTAAAGATCGACTTTGCGGGGAGACAATCTTCTATTTTTCTCAAAGAGAGATACAGTTTGGTGTTTAGTTCCTGAAGTGTCAGCTATTCAACATACAAAATAGGCAGAATAGTCTGCTAGTGAGGTTATAAATATTGTGAGAGGCAGTAAATTATAATCAGAGTTTCACGAGTAAATCTAGTGAAAAACGGTTATTTCAACGATAGTCCACAGAACAGAGACCTGCACTTGAATGCCCAAATGAAATGAGAACGATACAGAATACATTTTGCACAAATCATTGGTAGAAGCACTAACAACTGAAATGTTTGCCGTACCAAGTGGAGAGAACACAGAAGCAAGGGACATAACACTGCGAAAGGGCGAAAATTCGCAGATGGTGATTTGTCGAGTTCATATGCTAGCCGGGATTGACCAGGTCCACTTGCCTCACCTGGTCCCGAGTTTCTAACATCATAGACGAGTCTTCTTCCACGCAGGCGAGTGAGTCCACGGTTAAAACACCCCCATCCCCTTGTCTTAACATTATTTTTGCAGTTTTTCGTATAAACCTGCCATATAGCCAGGTTCTGAGCAAGATTTGCCTTGAGTTACTTGAGCCTGAACTACTTCAGTTAATATATACCAAAGTTTCGGAAGATCATGCAAATGCAGTTGAACTGGCCAATCAGAAGTATCTAACGGTGTACTCTTCTGCCGTCAGCGTTGTGAATTCTACGTTTACGCAAGTATAGGATAATGGATCCCCTGACCATCATTCTTGCATACCTTTCATTAATACCTGCGTACGTTTTCTCATGTCTCGTTCTGATTTTGATGGACAAACATTTTCTCCCCCGAATGTACATCAGCATTCTGGAGCCCCTGTTTTCGGTACGTACGTTCACTGCCCTGTTCTATCCATCTCGTAGTATACAGCCGTTAAAATGGGCCAGCGTTCCCAATCGGTTGGGGATGTCAACTCTGAGGATTCACTGAATGCCTATGGTTCGCCTCTTTTCAACTGCTTCATTTATTCAGATGACAAACTGATTGAGCGGGACGTCACGTTGACTGAGGAGGGCATCGAGATTAGCCAGAAGTTTACCATTGGCGAAGAAAAACACTTCAAATTACATCACCCGTGTTACTTGATAAAGTCTGGCATTGAGGTAGTTTGCCTTTCCAAATGTGCTTTTGCTAGGCAATCATTGAAGATGACGTTACCCAGCGGTTTTCGTCCGCAGAACTGCGCGTATGGAATCTTCTGGCTAGAAATCAAAACTTTTATTTTTACAAGTTAGAATTTAGTGTTTGCTAACATCATCTTAGTACAAAGTGCTCGCGCACCTTATATTTCTTGTGGTTCGTTGGATTTGTGGTCCGGTACCTTATCCTATTCCCAAGCAGGTAGCTTACCCCTATATACCTAACTGTTCTGCAGACTATCGGTTTGTCTTTTCGGAGTCGCGGTGACTTGGTTAGTAGGCTTTCTGAAAACCTGCTTCCCCAATTCTCGTCTTGGAATATGGCTTTCTGGTCGTGGATATCAGAAAGCTATGCTCCTCAACCTTTGTGCTTATGCGCCGGTTATTCGTTTCCACAACCCGTAAGTTTCATGATGTAATGCCTATAATTTTCTCCTGCAGAGTTTGCCCATTTTATATTATTGTAAGTCCTTCTAATAGTATTCTTTTAATGTGTGGTATACATAAAGTTTTGCCAAGAAAGCCTGTCGTAGTTGACTGTAGTCATTTTCACTAGATTGGTCTTATGACTTGGATGTCGGGCTGTGGGTTTTTGTACAACATGCTAAGAGAAGTGTGGTTTCTCACACAAACTTGGGGTAGGTTAATTGGTTCGTCACCACCCTTAGTATGCAGGGAACTTTTGCTTTCGAGGATACTCCAACCGGATGTCGGATAAATTAGGGAGGTCCATTAATTTAGCTGTGGAAGACTGTAGACCGATGACAGTGGTATCCGTAGGTAGTGTGCAGGAACCCAGGTTTAGCTAATGCTGCGTTCAACGCTCACACCGTTTGACTCCATGTTGGACCCGCTGACCATGCGGAAATAGGCGAATCGGTTTTGCCTCCTCGTTGGTTGGTCGCGTCTTGCAGTCTAAGGCTGCGTAGGACAAAGATTGAGCGTTTTAACCAGCGGCGACGGGGATTGATCCGATGGGTAAGGTTGAAGCCGTGTAGGTAGTTGCCGAGGTGTCCTTATCGGCGACGACCTGTGAATAATGCCACCGTTAAATAACACCTTGTCAGACACCGATATGATATCCTCGCAACCTAACCGTTCCCCCGAGACTGACTCTGCCTTAACATTGTACATATGCTGGTCATATTAGCAGACTCCATGTCGACTCCATCTGTTCCTATCACCTAACCTCTGGTATCCCCCGAAGACAGCTTAGATAATGGCTGAGCTTGCTTCCTGAGTTTCACCGAATTATCCAGGCCATCACTCTACAGAGAACCGTTGTCAAGACTATATTCTCTTTTTTCCTCAGCCTAGCATCTAGACAAGGTCATAGCGCTTTCGTACTGAGACTTCGGAAGCCTAACTGGCTTTCGACACCCAGGCCGTAATTCCTTCGACTATGTTGAGGCTTCTGAGTACTGTTGTAGCGTGCGGCCATCATGACCGGTCTGGCGTTATTGTTCAGGGCCTCGTTGTCTCAAGGTCGTTCACCCCTTGCAGCGAGCCGCTCCAGAAGTGCTGACCGGAAGCCACCCGACCGACTCCAGCTCGAACACAATTGTGTCCTCACAGCGTCGCGGTCACCCATGCACCACTTGAACGCACCACCCCCTGCAACCAGTAAAACAGGCCACTGGGACACCACCCCTCGGCAAATTCAACACACTGACTGGCCACCACTTGAGCTTGGCCTACTAGCCTACAAAAGCGACTGCCACCACTGTCTCACGGACTCTCAGGCCTGACTGGACGCAGTCAACACCAGCTCTGGCCTCTCCAGTAGTCACTGCCGTCTGAGAGGACAACTCCGGGTTCTGTGCACAGTAAACCCCTCATTCTGGTGCCTTCCATCTTCTCCTTCCAACACCAGGATTTGCCCTGATTAAGGTAGCGCTCAGACGGCACACACCCACACTGCGTAGCCCCAGCACTGAGCCACCAAGATAAGGGGATTTGTCCAAAGCAGTATGTGGATTGTATTCGACACTTATTAATTCTGCGCACTCCATGGTCGGTGTCGGTTGGCCCGTGACAATCACTGTCTACAAAATTGGCGCCTCCAAAGACAAATAGGTCATCCAGTCCTTTAAGATTTTCGTAGACATGTGTGCGTAGGTCGTCAATTCTTTTCCATTGGCCCGATTGCTGGGGCAAAGTCCACGTATTTCGTTGACAAATGTCCGTCAACACTGGGGAAAACATAAACCCGAAGAGGGCTGGGTAAAATATGAAATCCCGCTTCACCCCGTTTATCACTTTGAGGTTTCCGAGGTTGATTTACTACCCGCCGCACGCTATCATCCTATTACGCGGTTACTTAATCATAATGAACCTTCGAGGTGGTTGTTTGTCATCGTTAGTTCCCACGTGAGAGAGGCTGCTGCTGCTCTTCCCTTGATCTGAGGATTTATGGCTGAGTACGCAACCAAAATGCTCGACCCGACGCTCTAGAATGTGCGATTTGTTTCGTGGTAGGACTTTCTCATTCGTGCTGGAAAGCATGACTTTCACTGAGCTGTGCGCCGTAAGCTGCTTTGATGACTGCGCACACCGTGTTTCTCTGCGTAGCTTGATGCTTCCTCCCCCTGATCTTGTCTCTCTGATTGATTCTCCATCCTAGTTTTTTTTAAATACTGGTCATTCCAGAATTCATCAGCCTGCTGCCCTCGCTATTAAGATTTTACAACGATGCTTAATGATTTGCCATACTTACGACACGGATACTAGCCGAAAGCCCTGACGCGTGTTTCGCCGATCTTATGCCGCTCCATGACGCAGCCGCGAAGAGTTCGGTCCATCAGTGCGTCCCTGTGTGCTTTCTGGTATACAAACTCCAGTGTCCATGCTACTGTTTATAATTTCCTCGGGAATTAATGCGAGCTTGGAGTAAACTCTTTAAGACAAAGTATACCAGCTTTCAGAGCCAGCCCAAAAGCCTCTTTTCCAAATGATTTACTCCAAGTTCTTTCATTAGTTTCAGAGGAAATGAAAAAGGACAACTGCACGGCAGTCTAACCTTCTGATGAGCACGTAGTCCAGCAGTTGTCGGTAACTCAAGCGACAGTCCATCTTGTGGTCGTGGAAGCGAAAAACGGTGTCAATCTCGATTAAGTCTTCTTGTGCACACGTTTTCAGCAGTATCGGCGCGTTGCTGTTTCCAACTCTGTGACAAATATGCACTCCCTGTTAAGCGACGTGTTTGTTCTAGGCACAGACGTATGCAGCTGTCCAGGTCCTCACATAACTTGTCTCTCAGGGCGTGAGGACTTTGAATTCTCGGAGCGCAAGGGCCGACACCGCTGGCCAATTTATCTCTACTGCGTCAGGGTTACATTGCCGTGGGATAGTTGTGGATTATCTACAAGAGGACAGACAGCTCTCTGAAGGTGTCCTATCTTAGCCAAATCTTACGACTTACGTTTCGATTTTTTCAAAATAGTGTCACTATTTTACTTTTCTACTAGGTTGAGGATAGTTTTCTGTTTTAGGGGTTGATATCTTATTTTACCTCAAAATATGCCTAACCTTACTCTTTGAGCTCTCACCGAGTCTTTCTTTTTTAGTACTCTATTCTATTCCACGTATAAAGCTTTTTAGACATGCAAATCTCATGTACTTAGGCTTGATATCTGGTCAGTTATTCACGCATGTTTATGCTTTTATTTATAGTGAAAACCGGCCAGCGGCGAACACAATCTGCGTAGCCAACCACACCACTCCCGTGGACTTTGCTGTTTTAGCTAGTGACAATACATATGCAGTGGTATGCCGCAGCCTTCCAATTTAATATCTATTCATTGGATTCCCATTTTTAAAAACTAATAATTCTTAGCACTACACTATGCATGTCGTTTCATTATCATTTTGAAAAAAGGTTCTCTGAATTTTAGGCCATACAGACGGTTTTTATCCCAAATTTTGACTAGGTAGTTTCACAGGGGAACTAGTAGAAATCCTATCTTGAATTCTTATCCATTGATTTAGCCGACCCCAGAGTACACGGTAGTGCGAATCAGTTTGGCACATGTCCTGCGATCATCGTCTAGATCCTCAGCACTTATTATCGCATTAGAGTCTTGTTGTTGAACACCGCATACCGTCGGACAAATCAGCTTCTCTGTACCACATATACCCTTTGCTGTTGGCCACCGTGGTAGCTGTACAAACTCAAAGAGGTATTCGGAGAGATGGTATAATAAATGTCCTCAACTCAAGTGGACGGTTTGTGACCTAAGCAATCACATCTCGGCTTGATTTAAGGGGTCTTATGCTTTGCCAACTACAACTGACCGCCACCATCACGTGCTTCAAACATTGCCGCAAAACTGTGCGAACTCGATGTTCGAATTACGATCGTCTCATCAATTAGGTTGACCATATTCTAGTAATTTCAGGGCATCGTATCCGAACTCGTGATAACAGATGAATGTGTTGTGCCGAAACTCGCAGCTCCTGTGTGTCAGAACATGTACTCGTTCATACACGCCTAAACGTTCAGCCCTCATCTACATCAAAATTGTCATCTGCAAGACTTGATGTCACAAAACCGCGACAGCCCAGCACAATCGAGGCTCAGAGCACGAGAAACCTCATCCCATATTGCGGTCCGAATAGAAGAAAAAACAGTCCTCAATCTGTGAGACAGTAGGAAGGATTCTCAGGCTCACCCAGCGACATAAAAATACTGGGTTTAAGCGCCCTACACTTCCCTGACCGGACGGCTTGAATTAGACACCGCAACAGTAAATCTTCCAGAAATTGAAGTCAAATTCGGTTTTTGATGACCATGAAAACCATTGAGCTGAAATTTCGACCTCAGTGGAGCGGGTCGTTCACTTCGGTGACACTCGAAAACTCTGCGAGTTTATTCGCCAGGTTAGTGGTGGGTCCTCGGTACGGAATGACTGTTCACCGTTGGAATAGCCGATTTAATGCTGAGAACTCGGTCATGACCGAGCGCCGACGTAAGCACTTGGAGTACGTCGACTCTGTTGACCTTCTGTTCGTGCGATGGTCGTGCCTGCATTGGCGCAATCCAGTGTTAATATTGTCCGCCCTTTGGAGGTGCGCCTGCCTCGTCACGTATTATGGTGTCAGGCTCAGGAAACTGCCCTAGCATGTACCACAGTGGTGTCACTGAAGACTGATCAGCCCAGCGTCACTATCGTTCCGACTAATCAAACCACGTGTCCATTTGTGAGCGGGGAACCGGTGTCCCGAGGGTTGCACTTGTACGTCTTCGTGGTTCCGTGGCACCTACTCATATACAACCCGAAACTCGTCCCCCTCTTTTTTGAAAGCTCGTTTACGTTGGGCGGGGATCAGCATGTGCGAACTTTAAGCCAATTTAATTTCATCGGCCACTGCTCCCAAGTTCATCTTTGGTCGTTTTGCCGTTGTATTGTCATTAGAATTTGAAGGCGGAATGCGCTAGGTACTTCTGATGTATGCTGCACGAGTAAAACAGCGGTGACAGGTATTTGCGATGTGCTCCCCCACGCCGAATGCTGATGACGCACTAAAGAACTTTTCACGGTACTCAGGCGTGTTCTAATGTGTAACCTGATCGTTGCGAGTAACTGAAATATCAGGACAGAGTAGCGCAATACATTTATTAGGCGAGACCTTGACAACCACTCAGTGGAAATCGGTTGCACAAATAGTAAAGGACTTTCCTGTTTTACTGCGCTGAGCCAATTATACGTTACAGGTTCTTGCTTCCACAGCATAGGAGACATATTGTCGTCTGTTTCTCTAATGGCGGTTGCGCTCAAAGTTGCATCGAATTGAATTCGATCTCTACAAAACCGGTCCGATGGGCAGATACTACAAGAGACTGTCCACTTTAGAGGTGATCGAACATCAGAGACTTGTTTCTTGAGATTACACAATCAGGACGAACTGCGGAGCAAAGTGGCCAGAGATTTAGAGCGTGCCTTTGCTAACAATGATACTAGGAAGTAAAAGGTCACTGTGTAAAACCTGCCATGTCATTATCATCCGTGTCACTTTAGAAATCAGACGGCTTTTCTACGTACAATTTTAAGGTCATAGTATCACCCACATGCGATTAACGCAAATCCGGTTAGTATTGAATAATGCCGTTTTTAAACCTTTTATGCATAATTTCGCCGTCAGGGTCTTTCGAAAATGCAACCCTCGTTCCTAGAGATCGCAATTTAACTCCAGTTTTGGAAGTCATTTGGGTGCCCCCAAATAACAGCCTTGAAGTCTTGACCGACTGTCTACCGTCGTGTGTTTATGTAGGTCAAAGCTTGTCCGCATTTTGGCAAGACCGACTTACACGCAGTTTAACTGAGGCGATTGCGAAGAGGCAGTAAATTCGGAAGTCTTTGCGCAGCATCGGAGGCACCCCTTAAAAGTTATAGGTACTACTGCGGACGAAGTTAGGGGTAACTGACATTGCACTCATTTTAATCGGTTGCCTAATCAGTGGTTCCTGGCCGTTTGCCGGGTTAAGAGCCAAAGCTGTTTATATAATGCCGTTACAGGTGACTTGTAGAGAACATTTCTGTCGTCGTCCCTTTCCTTTGCGTGTGGCCCAGCACCGTTATGTTACGCTTCGATCTCGTGTGTTTTGGTCGCAATGCACTATTCAGGGTTGCGCCTTCTGTGGCCGTTGTTGGTTGTGAAGAACCGCAAACGCTGATTCGGAAGATTGTGAAATTGCCGTCTGGAGCTTCTCGATAAGTCTACTAGCACAATTGAACATTCTCAGCTGTTATATTCAATTATCATTGTTTACTAATCATTGAAACTTCTGTATTTCAGCCCTCTTTAATGTATTAAATGGTAGACAGTTCAAAACGACGTTTTGTATTGAAGAGTAAGAGAATTAGGCTGTTCCGGCCCGGATCCGCCCGAAATGCGCTCTGAAACTATCACAACGCGCTTCCAGTTTGACTTGGAAAGTTAAAAACTGACGGGATAACCCGGTCGTGTGCATCACGGAAAGCCTGCAATGACTCCTTAATATGGCCTTTATGGCACTCCTACTTGTATGGGCTTCAATACTCCTCTCTTTCCTTGAAAGGCGCTGCGCGCGCGCCTGCTTTCAATCGTTCTGACTCACCCTCCTTGGCTGCTGTGGGTCAAGTTAGCACAGTTCGTGGAAAGAATATCTCGCAAATACGAAGCAGAACAAAATAAGTGCTATTTGCTCATGTCGGCGTCTGTATGCTCACCTATCCAGTTAATCCTTACTCCTAATCTATTTTTTTCAACAGGTCCTAAGAATCTGACCCTGATCGAGCTCTTGTCTGTGTTTTAGTTTGCTCTTTAATTTGCATTTTTCCGCATGCTCTAGGACGTTTTTGTGGGCAAAACTAGATATAGGATAAGCTTTTTTCCAGTCTATCTTTAGGCCTATAGCCTACCTCGAGGGAACGGAGTCTGCTTTGCTCATAGACTGTTGATTATTCCGTCTGTCGGTTTTACGCCACCAGACCGCCCTCGGACAGATATCATCAACCCTGACAGTCACGTTTCCCGTGTCTGGTAAGCCGGCATTTCGACTCTTACAAGCGACAACGTGCACCGTGGCCCCACGGGGTTGGCCCAGCAGCGGTGACTTACGCGTGAATGTATTTATGGTTAGGAGGATCTGCGCTGCACCTAGCTCACCCTACCCCTCCTCACCAAACTTGTTTCAATGGCAAGACAGTGTTAAGACTACCGGAGGCGGACGTGGACGCAGTAGTTGACAAAGACAAGCAACCCGTCTACGTGTGCCACACGCGACCTGTCTCCCGCTACATGTGCCAGGCCACAACAAGGGCGACTATGATTTCACATCGGCGAGAATGCTACCAATGTCCCATGCAGAAGTCATCGCAGCCTGGCTGTCAGTCCTGTCACTCCAAAGTACTCACGATGAGGTGTGAGTTATCCCGTCGGTTGGCAACCTTCCAAGTCCCGACGCTTAACACGTCTTGATTGATTCAAGCGCACCAGGTGGGATTCGCTAATTTTCTGCGGGAATGGGGCCTCCTCTCCTTCTCTCACGCCCCAGTCGGAGTTTGTCAAACAGCTGGTGCCGAGAATGGGTGCAGTTGCTGACGCGGCGTGAAGATCTACGTCCATGCTTGCCAGATGCATGTATGGGCTCGCACAAACTTTGCGCACCTCGAACGCAGCCCGTTTAGGAGGCACAACTTCAGTCATCGGGTCCCAATTCTAGTCTAGTTAGCTCGGTTTTATACGCCGGGACACAGTCTGCAGTTGTAGTCTCCGCTCAGTGCGTTCTGTGTTATTACAGTTCATAGCTTAACTTTAACTTTTTCTTTATGATTCCGGAAATATGCCGTATTTAAAGTGATGTCTTACGTTCGTCCTGCTAAGATCTTTTGGTCTTTCTAGGTTGGACAGAAACAGGGCGGATTCTTCGGCCTGGTTGAGCGGATTCTTTCGAGCGCAGTGCCCACCATTTGGTTTGATCGTAGTGAAACATTCGACCGCAGCGCTGTTGCCAGGCGCCTCCGCGAACACGTAGCCACTCCTGGAGCGCCTCCCATCCTCATCTTTCCGGAGGGGACGTGCATCAATAATACTTCGGTAATGAAGTTCAAAAAGGGTTGCTTCGAAGTCGGTGCTGTAATTCATCCTGTCGCTATACGAGTGAGTGCATTTCGTGACTTTTACTTCCAGTGATTTTAATAATCCCAATTCTTCAGACATTCCTTTGAACTATCCAACTTAGAGTTCGATTGTCCCCTGCAAACTTTTACTGACCTTGTGAATATGTTTTAACCAGCTGCATTCGGAGGACGTTTTCCCAATTCCCAATTCTTTCTTTTTCCAATATCAGCAGAACAAGTTTTCCCCCAGCTCACCTGTCAGCAGTCATCTCAAGCCTCGTCTCGTTGCTTTCTCGCTTTAAGGCGTAGGTCCTTTAAGAGCCAGTGCACCTTGAGGCCTCATTAACTCTCTCTGAGACCTGCATTTAGCCTGCGTTTTTGCACCTCCGGAAGACCATTAAACTCTTCAATCTATTCCAACCTCAAAAATAAAGTTTTCAAACGAAAACAGTTTTCCGTTCCTATAATAAGGTCTCATCCAGGTGCGCCGTGGTCCTCAAGGTTACTTGGCTGTTTACACCGTCGCCAATCAGACGATGTGAACACGCGAGTGACTTTGTTTACATGACTATACCTTTTTACCTGTCGATTTTATCGCCTTCACTGGTTTTCCACTACTCTTCCTCGAGGCTCCAGTAGTACTTTCTTGACTAATGCCATTCAGCGTTTAACCTTATTGCATGCCACCATTGCCGCTACCGTGAAGGTGCGATCGTCTAAAGATGAATGTACACTGATGGGTGAAATTTAGAACCAGTGATTATTTTGGATCTCCCTTCTCCATGCCTGATTCCTCTTTTTCCCTTGTAGTGAGACTTGTAAGGTACACTGTGTCTGTTTTAATGCTGTAGGAACCATGGACAACGCTCTCATGATGGCGTTCTTACTTGAATATAAAAGTTGTTTGTAGCGTCAAACCATGATAAACCTAACGAGCCTGTGTTGTCTTCGCATTTCCTTAATCGAATATTATACTCAGAACTGCCCAACCTGACTCCACATCCAGACTTTGCAATCCTTTTACAGTTACCCGCTCTCTCATCTCTCTATTGAATGGCTGGTATTTCATCGCAATTCCTATTTTACCATGGGCTTCTAGGTTATCCTTAGCTAAGTTGGTGAAAACAGTCGGCTTTAAAATATTATACAACTTACGGGTACAAACCATCCCTACTGTACTGACCAATGCATCAGCCTCTCCTGATTTCCAATGTTCAGGCCACAAACCCATTGCAGATGCCTGATTAAGGTTGGTATTTTTCCACCGGAAAAGTATTTGTTAGTGCACACCCATGGGAAGATTCGCATCGGATGATAATAAACTCATCTTTTGAGCCATTAAAGTGGCATCTTGGTGACGGGCGTGCCACGTTAGTGGAGATTTTGAGCACCTGAACGCGTAATCGAAGTTGACACCTCGAGCTCATCTTGCGGCAAGCATTTATCACCTGTGCTATTCTGTGAATCGTGTGTGCTGCGTTGCTGCATAATTGCGAACCGAAAAATTACTTGTCGGCTTTGCCCTGACTTATTTGCGTTCCTGTACGTTGATAAGTGAATAATTTCCTGAGTAATAGCCTATTCTCAAGTTCTTTCGATCTTATCCAACATTTGCCGTTTATTCGAGTCACCACATTATCGACTTATCTTGGTCTCTGTCCCTACCTACTGGGGTTCTGCCAGCGTCAGTCAAGGTTTCGGCTCTTGTCATTCGGAATCAGGTTTTCTTGCGGTCGTGCAATAAACGACAAAGAGATGATTATCTAAGTAAGGTACAAAGAATGACAGCGTTCTAACCCTTATCTTGTTTCCTTGAGATCTATCAAGAGCCTAGCGGATGGTCTCGACAACTTGCTACTTGCTAATTAGTTTCCATGTAGGAGACGGAAGCTGGTTTCTAAAGTATCACGACATTTTGAGGGCACACTTGCGCACCCGACGCTCCCTCTATAGTAAACGAATCACCCCTGGGAATTATCTGAATGCCACTCTCCGTTGACGTGCTTCGAGGGTTGTAAGGTTGACTCGTGCCCCAGTGTGTGTGATTTGTATTTATTTACGCTACCGCTACCAGTGCTGTCAGATAGTAACAGTACAAGCCACTGAAGGGCAGTTGAGCAGGATTAGGTGTAGACTCTACGATAATGATTTGTAATAGTCAGGCAACTTTTACTGTGCATTTCCCAGGGTTGCATCGTCGGACGAAATTATTGCCCGCTTTAAGCGCTCCAAAAATTGACATTTTAGTTTCTAGGATTGAGCATGTAAGGACTCCGAAAATCGTTTTGATTGATGGACAAAATCGACTAAGGGTTCTTTGTGAAGGGCAGCTAAATATATCTTCAACCCTGGCGAAGAGGGAGAAATTTAGTTTTATCCTATCGTTTCGGCTACCATCTTCAGGGACTGGACAGCTTGTGCGCAGCTCTCATTATATGGCGCATTTTGCGTGATATGTAGGACGCCAATGCCGACTGTGGGTGTAAATCGGACCCCCGTTTCGCCGTAGTCTGCGTCGCGCCCGCCCTCGTTGGTCGAGGCGGTAATTGGCGACCCCGATTGTTTCACGCCACCATCGTCTCCTGTCAAGTAGGTTCGCAAAATCAGGTAGGAGGAGGCAGGCATATCTGACGGTTGACTAAGCAGTCGGCGGACATCTAGATTTCTTGCGCCTGTCGTGTTGCGTGATCATTGCCTCGACCCACTATCCCAACCGCGTCGAAGTTCACCATGTGTCTCGTCATCGCAGCGTGGCTTGCTGCCTCCGACTGCGTCCAACCTTCGAACGGCTAACCGGTGCTCATGTGTTCGCCTGTGCAGTCCTCGACCGGTTTTTTTCTGTGTACTTGCACTCCCCGCAGCTACATAGTATTACAGCCTCATTCACCGATCATTTAACGATTTTTTTTCAGTGCCGTTTTTGAGTATTATTGAGTGACTTGGCCACTCGTGTCTGAATATTCAGCATGCAACGTGTGTGAACTGGTGTAAGAATATTCGCTGCGCAAACCTTGATAGGCAGTCTTTGAAATCACAGTCAGAACTAGGTTTATGAATATTTGAATATTGGCACAATTGTTGTTATGCTGTCTACGACAGCGCACTAAAGTTCCCGTCAAATACGGAGTGCAAACTGAAATTGTAGACGCTCAGCATTACTCTGAAGATACTCAAACAATGTAGAAATAATATCACTACTATATGGTCCCCTCTTCCGAATAGGTGGAAGGTAGCTAACATTCTCCAAACATCTGGGCAATTAACTGCCTAGCTTTCCCAGGAGACGGTGTGTGTTATTCCGTTTGATCCCAAGTCTGCCATTTTCCTTGGGAATCTATTCCTGGTAAGTCTCTATTTTAAATCGAGAGATCTGCGATCGGAAGTGTATCAAACCATTGTTTGTCCGAAAAATAGAATCAGACCCATTATAAGGATGGAAAAAAACATTAGGTGTTCCCAACTTATCTATTGTATACATCTTCAAGAATAAAAACCGCAACGGTGGCCCCTGGTTCCCGAAGAACACGAAAAACAACATAGTAAATGACAGAGGAATTTCTTTCCTACTGAAGAAAAACCACTTTATAAAAGCTAGTTCGTTCAAGAACAGCCTCCAAGAAGTAGGCATATCTCCGCAAAAATAAAAAACAAAGACTAACTAGCGTAGAAACAGATGGTTTGCCACAAGATGCAAGCCACCGACCAGCCTTAAAAACAGGAGACCGGAATTAAAATTTGTTAAAAAGCTTTCTTCTAAGAAACACCAAAGTACGGATAAGACGAAAATAAAGTGCTATCAGACCGGTTGGAAGCGTTTAGATAAGTGAAATATTCACTCGTGGGTCAAGGCAAACCACCTCGTCTGTGAAGCATTCTGGCGGTATTGCTGTAGCATGGTCATTTATGGTTGCCAATGAAACTAGTCGCTTTTTTGTTTATTGATGGTCTGACTAATGACCATGGTAGTGAGACAATTGCCTGCACAAATTCAGTCAGCTACCTCAAAGCTCATTGGACAGTGTTTCACGGTGCATATTGATAATGTCTAGCGGCACACTACTGTAGCAACCAAAAAGTCGAGAGAAAGAAGTGGGTCGTTCCGCGGTGGCGAACTCTATCAACAGACTCGAATCCACTCGATTGGGCACTTAATTCGTTAAAGACTGAACGCCCCAAGTACAAGCAGAGCCTGAAGGCGGTTGCAGTAAGCGCCTGGTAAATAATCACTAAGCATGTAGCTCAATATCTGTGGTGTCAATGGATTCCAGACTTCAGATTCTCAACGTTAGTAACTGTGTGCCTTCTAAGCGGGCCGCGTGTTAGACGCGCTGTACCAACACAGGAGCCATACCAGACTCTGGCGAGCGTTATCGGAATGCGCACCATAACAATTGCCAACATTTCGGGGTGCTGTGGCAGACCCACCTGCCGCTGTACGTCGCGCACTTTGGGACCCCTGCCGTCCCCCATTGTTTTTACTGATCAAAATCCTGGTCATTTGCTATGTGGACCAGGGGGGGGTGGAGTGGAGCGCCGAGGTGCAGGCTCGACCGCGCCCTCCCCGGCCTCCGGTCTTCTTGATTCTGTCTTGACACCGGGTCCAGGTGGAGGGTAGGAGATAGTGCGTTGGATGCCGTGCAAGTCCACAATCACAATAAGCTAATTTGCGCGCAAGTCATCATCTCTGATTTCACTATACTGTGAAGCACACGGTGGACATCATCGGTCACGACGGTCGAACCATCGCATACTTAGCGGTAAGTCTTTCAATGAACGATTCACGAGTTTTGATGCATGTTGCTACTTCAATGATCAGTCTTCACATCGAATATTCTCACGCATAGGCTTGATTGTCTTGTTGCGACCGTGGAAGGAGGTCATCCGCATTCTCGATTTGTGCGCTTCACCTTCTTACTGGCCTTCATTTTGCCTTACGCTATAGTATGACCCACGTTATGCGGACTGCTTCTGGAACAGCAGTCAGGACAGCCTCTTCCAGTACCTTTTGAAAATGATGTCGTCTTGGGCCATGGTAGTTGACGTCTGGTATCTCCCACCTGAGCGCCCTCTTCCTGGCGAGGATGGAATCCAATTCGCCGCTCGTGTTAAACGAATAATCGCCAAACAAGGCGGCCTGACCGCCATGGACTGGTATATTCATACGTATTCTGTTTTTTCTCATCATAAGTACTAGTTGCGTGCGATACGCTTTACACTCCTGTTTCTGCTTTAAAATTCCGAGTAATTTTCCACCGTTTTGCCCCTTTAGGATAAACGGGCACAAGGGGTACCTGAACTTCCCACCTGCCACTGACCTGGAGTACGGCAGAACACATATGTCGTTCAGACCCCTTAATCAGCTCTCTCTTGTGCTATTTTTGACTGTTTGGAAGCTGAACTGGGTTGCTCCCGTGCACAATGCAAAAAAGTGGTCTTGTTTTGCAATCGGGCTGTTCCCTGTAATCCTCATTTCACTTGTCTAACGCCTTTCCGCCATGAGGTGTGGTTGTGCGGTTGGCGGTGTTCGAGTCTGTGTTAAATATTTCTGCCTTTCAGTGGTGCAGATCATGCCGGTGGTGATGGTCAAAACGTGGTCATAGAATATGAGCCAAGTGGAAGACGATAGTGGATCATCATGCTGTAGTCGAACATTTCCATGAGGTTTCTTGTGAGGGTTGAGTGTAGGCGGGTCCCCAAAAGCCACTCGAATTGTTTGTTGGACGTTGTCTCTAGCGCTTTGGCTCAAGAAAGATGTCCGTCTCGTGAGCTCAGTGTTACTACCCTCGATCCGACGCCGTTGCCCACACGGAGCTGTTGAATAGAGGTCAACTGAAGATCTGGCTGGACACGGTTCATCACGACATGGAAGTGGTTCTTTGACCTTCGCTATTCGGGTCGAGCTGTTCAGATCTGCTGCTGCAGACCGTCTTACGTGGGGAGGTACCATACGTGACATTATCGAAGCCGGTTAGATCAGGCATAATCGCGGCCGTACTGAGTACAAGTGCAAATCGGCGCCTCTTCAAAGTGCTAAGGGTTTCAAAACTTTAATTTCCAAAAAGTCGTAGCTTCTCATTCTTTCTAGGGAGAACGTCGAGCTTCATGTAAGCATTAAAAGCTCTATATAAGTAGTTATTCCCCCCCCCCTCGTGGGCTTACCCCCGGAAGTTCTCAAACTTTAGTTGAAAACCTGTGCTTTACGGCGTTTTAGTTACTTTCGGTTAGATTTCAAAAGTTTACTCTGCTTGTTTGTGGTGCCCTCTCAGTGTCCCCCCCCCTTATGTGACCTAAGGGAAAGGTCGCATTACTTATGCTTCTGAGTGATACGGCCGCAATTCTGCCTGGTAGAGTTTGATCCAACGATGTTCGGCGCGATTTCTCCACGCGCAACAATCTGTGGCAAATCTATTAGCTTGGTCTGTGCCCCTCCAGCTGAGACACCAGGGACCCAGATACTGTCCCGGCCTCTTGAGTACCAGTGTTCAGCCCGTTTTTGAGCTCACTGTCACTTCGTTGTCCTGAGTGAGGAAATAGCGTTGAATTTGTAGCCGCCATTTTCAGATCTACGGGCAGTGTGTACAAAGCACTTCAGTTGTCTTGGCATATTTCGGAGGTATCCGCGCTCGGCTCATTGGTAGCTCCCCCAGCGTTCCTCGTGTGTTTTGTGGCACAAACTCCATTTTCAATGCTGAGTTTTTTACTTTCTCAGGAGGTAACATGCAAACTTCCAGCAAGTTATTCGACGAAAATCTCAAGTTCGGTACGAAAGTTGGTGTAAATATTTCAGCCGACCAAAATGTATGGGAACCTTGATGCATAGCCCAGATACCTTCCTTAAGCTGACTATTTTTCATCATGATAAACAACTTTCTTTTTTGGCATGTGTGAATAAACCGACCTCTTTCATCTATTACTCTACGCTATACATTTTGATCTTGATAGGGGATTTCATCAGCTTAGTTGAGGTCGTTCAAATGACGTCTGTTGACTTTGCTTTGCACAACTATGATCGTACCTGGTCAATCCGGCCACTGCAATGTCCGGTATAGTATTCCTCTGCGCGTTACCATCTGCGACAGCGGATCTTAGTACTTTCCCTCCCCTCCCTTCTGGAAGAGGGTGATGTCAAATACCGAAGGTTCATGGGCCACATCGAGGTCCTGACGGGCAGTTTCGGATGCCTGGCTTGTGGCTAACCTCTTCGTGGTCTCTAAGGCATGGAGTTGAATTGCGGCCACTATACTGATCTCATGGGAGTTGATGACTAAAACTGTGCCAAAACCAATTTACCTGTCTGTCTTTGATGACATTAAAAGCCCTTGTGGGATTGTCACAGCATATGCAGTCTGTCTCGTGTACATGGAGTTCCTGTACTTACTTCGAAAGATCGTTCTCAGGCAATATTTGTGGAAAACTCGCATTCGAGCGTTGCCGGCGTTTGTTTTGTTATGCGGAATCCTCGTCTCGGTTCACTAGTTATTGCAGTCTTCTTTGTCAATTTCACCGTTGTTTCACAGATTTTGCTGAACCCGTATTTTTATGACCTAACTCGCGCCCTCTGAGTATACAAATGTAGGATCCTTAAATTGGTGTGTTTATCACAGAAGAGCTCGCTGCTTCCGAGAATGGGTTGAGATGCATCGCAAATTAATAACAGATATGATTATTTGGTTTTATGTTCTTCGATTCGGGCCTCAGTACAAACCGGTTCCTGTTCTCACAGTATTGAATGTTTTGGCTCTCGTCATTTTACACTAGACCTTACGAAAACAGTCACTTGGGATACGGATTCCAGGCGAATGCCGAGGAGAGTTGTCGATACAACGTGTATATGAAGAATCGGTTAAAGATAGTTGACCCGCCTGTATTCGGCTTATTCCTCCACATTAATGGACATTCTTTTACAGAATCATGTCAGTTATGGTTTTATGGGGAAACGTCTGCTTCAGATGCCAAAGAATCTTTATCATCCCCAAGCGGAGTCTCATTTGTCTTTTTACCCTCCTAAATTCGGAATTAGTGCCTGTCCGACATCAGGTCAACAAAGCTTTGGCTTATCAACTTCCCCCCTCCTAACTCCCTTCTCGCCTTGTCGCTATCTTCAACAGAACCTGCGCTACTAAGTATCGAACCGAATGCTATACTTCTTATCGTCAGTTGAACTGACTGGCCATTTTTTACTTTCTTTTCGGGACGCACCCAACCGTCGTTTGTACTCAACCCTGGCTCATCTTGAAGTCGCTGGTCCGATATCTGAGCTTCTTACAGGTCGCTAATTGTCCTGTCATTAACGTCCTTACGCAGGCGATGGGACGCCACCAGAAGAAAATGACTTCGTCCAGTACTCTTGTTGCCTCAATGCGTGCTTAACTTACGTTTGCTTGCTATAAATCCCACGATTGTGGAACTTTCCTGCCCGTAACCGCCATGGCGCTCTTTCATCCATCGTAATTTATGAGTATCACCACGGCCTGGGTAGACGACGACGACGACGACGACGACTTGATAGTGAACTGCTTTATGATGTAGGGTATTTGCACAAATCTACCTCGCCCCCTCTCACCACTTCTATCATCTTCCATTGACAAGACAAAGTCAAAACAAGTAGAGGTGGGCGTTGGCGCAGGGGTTGACGAAGTTAACCCGGCAAATGCGCATGCTACATGCATGCCTACGTGCACCTACATATGCACACATGCACTAGACCTTAATAAAATTCGTAGGACCCAACTGTGAAAAACTCGGCGGCCTCGGTGGGATTTGAACCCACGACAGAAAGTGTAAGGCTTGAGTACAGTCAACGCCCTAACCGCCTGAGCTGTGAGGCCCCACCGGAAGCCGTTAGTCTAATCACATTTGGATCAATTTTCCCACCCAACCTACCGCAACGTATAGAATACACCAATCTTGAGACAGTTGACCGCCAAGCAGGATTTCCTAAGCAATCTCAAATCCATCAGATGACCGCTAGACTCACTTAATGAGTGTTTTGGTAGCTTTGCATAGTCTAGCTTGTCTGCAGGAAAGGATCGTCATAGGGCTTACGTTGAGGAGACGTTATTGCAATCGAACTCGCAGTTCTGAGAAATACCCAGTTATCACGTCAGTCGGTGACCCTCCAAGCCATGTGAAGGGGTAAAAATGCCGAAAGTGTACTGTGGGGAAATTAAGCGCTAAGTATGCACTAAGAAAGTTGTTTCCCGATAGGACGCGCCGTCTTTCATCTTCACTCGTGTATTATTGGCAAGCCCTAGTAGGGCCGACTGTAGAAGACTAGATTGGACGCAGTGTCTGTCGCGACTTAAACCCTGTGCACCTATTTTGTCTCAAGGTAGGTCTGAAGCTACAGCGTAACCTGTTCTGTGCCGCTGTGTTGTTATTTCTCCCTCATAAGCATTCTTGACAGCCTGTCTGTGAAAGAGTTTGTTATCTGTTTTCTTCTAAAATTGCTTTTTTATACATAGGGATGGGGAATTGAAGCGAAGTCATCCAAAGCCAACACTGAAGCTCACTCAACAGAAGTTGTTCAGTGAAATGATCGCCTCAGAAGATTAGTTTACTGTCTCGCTTTCTCGGTTTTCCTTTCGCCCCTTCGGGCACGTGGACGACGCCAGTGCCAGCGCCGCCGTCGGCTTGATGCTTTCCTTATTTTCTTCCGAAAATGAGTCGTTTTTCGGCATCACTCGTGTTTGATTTCTTCTTGTCTGGCCCTGGGCCTTTGTATCGTCCCCTACCCTCTGGAATATGCTCTTTCACATTCTCACACAGGCGGGAACTAACTTGTAGACTGCCTTCTTAACCTTTTGTCTTGTCTCCCCCTCCCGCACCTTGTTATTTTTTCTATAATGATAATTGCGTAATGAGCGGTTGTCAATGTGAAGTCGGTCGCGGTTGTGATTCAGGCTTCTTTAACAAAATGGATCCACTGGTGTGCGCGCACCCAAAGCCAACTTTTTCCATTTCTCAAATCCGTATCCCTCTCCCGAATTTCCCGACGCCCCTTTTTTGGCTGGTGTCCGATTTTCCGTATAATCCTTTATTTTTTTATCCCACAAGTGAGTATTTGAGACTTGAGTCTGGCTGAGTCGAATATACCTGGTTACGGTCTTGGCCGTTCTCGTCAGCCAGGCGTTCAACATTTAGGAATCCAACGTTATTTTCTATGCTCAATGATAACGATGTGGTCCAGCAAATAGGAGAAGAAGCACATTCTCGCCCTCAGCCAGCTTATTCGTCGGGAAGGTCTCCTACCCTTTAGACATCACGATAGCTAAGCGACCAGAAAGTGAGGTGTTTCTCGCCCCTCGTGAAATTCTTATTTTGGCTAACCCTGTGGCGGACATCATCCTTGCTCCTCTCGCATGAATTCTACCTAGTGTAACAAACTTTCCGATAGCCGAAAATCACCGTTTTCCGCCTCGAAGTACGTGTATCCGACCGTACTAACGAGCTGAGTTGGCCGTCATTTGCGATATTTGTTTGGACCGCCCGTTTTTTAGAAGAGATTTCTTATTTTGCGAGTGTCGAAAACATTTAACTATTGTGTACGGCCACACATAGTAACACTCGTGTCGGCATTCCAACTCTGGCCCTCAGTAAACGCCGGTGCCACTGAATTTTTTGAGATCGAGAACAAAAGGACCAGTGCAGTTCGCCTATGTAGTTTATAGCTGACCGCACTTGCAGGTATTCCCTCGGATCCCCAGGGCAGCGTTGCAGCGCTTGCAAACGGGATTGCCGATCACGTTTTCAGTCACTTGCTCTTCTCCGTGACTTACATAGGGCCGAAACGCAGCCCATTTCGGTATAGAACTTTTACGTCCCACAAACATATGCTCAATTTATTTCCCATGTCCAAGACGTCCAAATTTATCCGCTTGTGCATGCTTCACCGATTGCCTCACACAGACCATTCAGTTTAGACGGAACTACACTCACATAGGTGGGAAGGCCTCTTCCAAATGAACCCAAAATGCTAATTATGGATTAAGACATTCCTACGGTAACGTAGAAATTGGTGAATGCGGTCGTACCGCGAGTACTTGATCAAAAATAAGACTCATTCGGGTTTCTTTGGTACTTCTCTTTATAAAACGGTTCGTGTGGACATCTATCAAGCTTACTTTGCAGACGTACATTTCCGTGTGTAAGACTGTCTCACGTTTTTAGGCACGCATTGTGGCCTTGAGCGTTCGTTACCATACGCGCTAGATTTCCGAAAAGGCGCATCCAACCGTGATTCTTCCCTACAAGGGCCGTCCAGATTTTAAGACCTTGGACTGTCATTCTGCCGATTTCGTTTCCATGTTAAAACCGTCGTCTGGTTTTTGGCCAAAACAACTTGAGGCTGGTAGATCTATGACAGTCCAACTCTTCAGGATGGACGTCAAGTTGCATTCTGCGTTGCACAAATCATCCAAACTTTAGCTTTTTACCACGTTTCACTCATTCAACAACAGATAGACATCGACAATATATGACCGTTTTGATCTGTAGAGGTTACGTGCGGCAGTTCACCATTCATATGAGGGGGAAGCGGTCGGGGTCTCCTTGTTTAATGGGCTATGGTGAATATAATCAAAAGTGTGTTACCCAGGTGACTGATATTTGCATTATTCTTGTGAGGCATCTCGAATCAAGTCTACGTAAGCGTGGGTACACTAGATTGGATTCCGTCGGCCTAGAGCACGTCCAACCTTGCGCTCAGGGGTTATTTCTCAGTTTCTAAGATGAATATCCGAATGGAAGGCATATAGAGGTTCCTTAGAGGCCGAGAACCAGGTCTGCAACCCACGGGGTTTTAACTTTGCCTGGAAGGCCACTCGAAGACCGCAGGGTATTTGAGGACGGTAGTAAGTTTGTGTGTCGTTTACCTGCCTGAAACAATGATCTGCGGCCTACCCATGCAACGCAGGGACTGGATGTCGTTGAGGTGCAGGTCTGCAATTACGCCTGGCGTGACTGGCCATTTACTGAAAAATTGCCGAAAAATCAAGTGATAGATGCGTCGTCATTGTGTATGTACGCCTGTTTTAACTAAGGAGGGACGACAGAATTATCATTCTACCTGCTGACGAGGGACGATCAACCGTCCTGATGAATCGAGAAGACCATAATGAACAAGCTAAAGCCCTTCTTGATGACAGAGAATTTTACAGACCAGCACAGAACTCACAAGCCAGAGCACTGGCAGATCGGCTGAGTAAACTGCTAGGAGAATACCGACAGAAAAATGCGATCACCGAGAATGAATGTCAGCAAATGAAGGTGACTGACACCGCTCTAGCTCGATTCTATGGTCTGCCAAAAATCAATAAAGCAAATGTCCCACTTCGGCCAATCGTTGCCCTAAATGGCAGCCCCACCTACAATTAGGCAAAGTGGATGTACTCAAAACTGAAGTTCCTCCAAGGCAATTCGACTACCTCAGTTCGATCAGCCTCTCAATTCCTCATAGATCTCCGAGGTCAGAGGATTCAATCGGACGAAGTCATCGTCTCCTTCGATGTGACGTCGTTATTTACATCCACCCACCAAATGTGGCCCGCGAAGTCTTGCGCAAGAGACTTGAATAGGCGTTCGATGAGATTCAGAATGCACTCAAAATTGAACATCTCATGAGGCTGTTTGAATTCTGCCAACAAACCTTCTTCACTTTTGCAGGAGTGACCTATGAACAAATCAAGGGAACTCCAATGGGCTCGCCGGTCTCCAGTTTTGTGGCAGAACTGGTCCTACAGGAGTTAGAAAAGATTGCCTTCATCCAATATGAACCGGTGTTTTGGCGCCTTTACATAGACGGCACGTTCGTCATCGTAAAGGACATGCTACAACATTTCCACAGCCTTCTCAACGCAGTCTTCCCTGATAGAAAATTCACGCGGGAAGAAGAACAGAAACAGCAGTTGCCCCTCCTGGATGTGCTTGTCAGACGTAACCTTAACGGTGAACTTGAAACGAAGGTTTATAGGAAGGTAACGAACACCACACGACTTCTTGATTTTCACAGCAACCATCCGGCGGCTCACAAACGAAGCTGTGTGAAGACGCTCTTCAAACGCATCCAAACTCAATGCAGCAACCCGAAGGACAGAGCACGTGATGTCCGTTATCTCCGCGACCAGTTTGTGCAGAATGACTATCCGAGAGCATTCATGAGTCGCTGCCTACGCGGTCGCCACCAGAGAACTCGAACATCAACGCCACCGACGATATGGCATTCTCTGCCAATCATCGAGGGCGTTTCAGAAGCGACCGAGCGCATTGATGCGGAGCTAGGTGTTGGAATTGCACACCGCCCCAAAGCCACCATGCGCTATAGGGTCATGAAAATCAAAGACCGCTTTAAGCCTGAAGACCAATCGGGAGTAGTGCATCGCATTCCGTGTCAAAATTGTCCTGGTAACTACACAGGACAGACTGGGCTCATGCTCGGATCGCGCATACACAAACATAAGCTTGCTGGGCGAAGTACTATCACAAGTGGCCACCCGCACCCACGAAATGGGTCACGAGTTTGACTTCGCAGCCATCAAAATAGTCGCTTACGCCGGAAACAAAACAGGCCGAAAATTAATTGAAGCCTGGACCTCGGATGAGAATTCGGCCAATCGATTTATCGATCTGGCGCCGGCGTACAGAGTCCTGCGTATTCACCTCCAGTCTTGCGCCGTCGGTCGATGATTGGCCTACATGCCTTATAACTGTCGCTTGTTCTGTTTCTGTTACTACCTCTGACGATGGAGTCCTGTACGAATCTGAAAGCTCAGGACAATAAACGCATTGTTCCGGTGCTCGACTCTTCTTCTTCATTTATGAATTTAAAATCTTCCACTTATGAACCTTGAATTCACATCAGTATCTCAGTCTCGACGCCCAATAGCGAGGCCAGTGTCCGCAAGGGTGAAAATGCGCGTCACAACTTCTTGCTGAATGGGGAGCATGTAGTGACATTTAAGTCTGTTTTGTTTTAATCAGTTACAATACGCTTTGACACAACTTTGAATAAGACAAAGGACACGCACGTGCACTTTTACCTGTCGACGACTTTGTTCTTATTTACTAGTTTGTAACTGTTGGGATACTGCTATTTTCGTTTCCTGGATAGCCTACTCGCTGTGCCCAACTAGTGGGTTTGTCTCTTACAAGGCTATGCGGATCGGTCCTATGCGCACAGAAGAACTTCATACAGGTTCCACAGTTGCCACGGTTCAAAGCCACCAAGCCAGCCACCCGCATGTAATTACCTCCGCCGGGACCCACCTTCTACCTGGAGCTGACTGAAACTGCGGTGTTTCACTCTCCCCCCTCCCTCCGTATTCTAATGGTAGTAAATTACGCCGAAATAAACATCCAAATGCCAGTATCCTGGTGCGTTCTAAATATCTCGGTAATATGCTGCGTGATAATCATTATTACAAGCCCTCCTTCGTAATCCTTCCTAATCAGAAACGGATTTCAACGTCGTGGTTAACCTTTCATGTGATTGGTCACTGATTGTAATTGGCTCGCTAAAAAGTCTGTGCGTAAATATAGTCCCTGCTCTCTAGTAGGAGTTAATAATATTTGGAGAAATTGAACGTGCTTTGCCATAACTGCCAAACTAACTTAAGCCACCTCTATACACCTTCAGCGCTTTCATAGTACCATCCCCTCATTGTGAGTTCTTTGGAAAAACCAATTCTGAACCGCTTTGTTTATGCTGTAAGATGGCATGCCTCTAGCAAAAAGCGCGAACTCAGAGCGCGGCGTAAACGCGACCTCGAAGGCACCGCGAGTGCAATGGGGCCAATACTTTCCCCTTCACGTGACGCTGTTGCAAAATGGCTTGCTTGTGCCACAGAGTTTTCCATAAGTGAGAAGTGTCGCATTTGGCAAACAACCGAGCCGCAGTAACGTCTTATTCCAAGCATAGCACTCAACTTTATGACAAGATTATGACACATTTCGAGAATATAAACCAATACGGCTGCGTAGAAAAATGCGCAATCTTCGAAATGCATCAAGTGTGACGCGAGTTGATTTTTGGCGGACTACCTCGCCTATAATCAGTCTTATCCTCCGCAAACAATTTT